TTGATTTTTTTTTTTTTTTTAAAAGAGTCCATATAGAACTCAACTACTAGATATATATCTAGACTTGGTGTATCGGCATTATTTTTTTTACGGGCAATACTATTCTGTGAGTAACGAAGAGGTGCAATACTATTCTGTGAGTAACGAAGAGGCTTAAGCAGATTCCATTGTCAGGTAAGTTAATTCTTGCTTATATCCTGTATATATGATTATCCGTGATTTAATTATAAAACTCATGATAATTATGTTTAATTAGACTTACAATATGGAGATTACACATGGAGGTACTGATTTATTTGAATTCGATTATACTTCAGTTGATAGTTATTATATATGTGAATTAGAATGATTTATTTTATCGAGGTATTGGTGTTTTCCTTGATCGGATTATGGATATATCAACATGATTGGATGTAGAATCTCTCAACTTTCATGTATATAAGAGAATGTCAGTGTATGATTTTAGTTGAATCCATTGGTTGATCTGGTATAATTATATAATAGGTATGAATAATGTTATTTGAACAGTGTAGATCTTATACATTAAGATTGGGATGGACCGCTACAGATGGATATATATGTAACAGATTATCTATACATATGTACATAATTATTGATGGGATTAATTTAATCTATTGTAGGTCACTACTAGGATGTGATTTTATAGAAGCTTCATGATTGATCTTTCTAGTGAACAATCAATATATCAGCCGGGACCAAGTGTCCATACTTCCACTGACAATTAATTGAGAAGTCAGAATCAAAGGGTTTTAAAACAAGAGCATCCTTGCATGCTTCAACCAGAATAATGCTACCATTTGTCCGTGCATTTGTCTCTCGGACTGGGCTCTATATGCACCTTGGATGGATATATATATATATATATATATATATATATAGATTTACCTATGCTAGTAGTTGTAGATAAGGCTCAAGAAATGCAAGTGATTTACTAATGGATTGAATGTATGTAAAGATGGGTACATGATTAATTGGAGTAATGAATGGATTAGACTAAGGATGAAGGTTTTGGTTGGCAGTAAATGAGTTTTGAGGTGTCATGAATTAATATAGTCACTAATTTATATAATTTTTATTTAAGCCCATAGTTACTGGTACATTTTGGAGTTATTAGAATTAGATATTTAAGGTTGGCTTTATGTTGATTACAGACCTTGAATTTGTTGGTATAGCAGGTAGTATACAAATTTAATGATATTGAGATGGAAATTTAGAGTATTTGCAACCTATTGTAATTAGGGCTATGAGTTGGTGTGTCAGTATTAATTATGGTATTGGATAAACTCATGATAACATGAGTTGGAATTATTTAAATATATTCAGTGTTTAATTGATGTGATTAAACAAGTTGGAGCATTGGTCTGAGACTTTTATAATGATGAGGTTGTTGAGTGCAGTCAGGGACTGTCTTCGGGAGTGAATTACTCTTTTGTTATGGCTATTGGGCTAAAGGTGCCCTTAGTATGTGGACGTGGTCAGGGGCCATCTGGGTGAGTAGACGTACAACCCAGCCACATGTGTGTATTTGGTAGTCAGGGACTATGCAATTCACACCATTTATTCGGAGTGGAGCCAGGGGCTCATGTGAGGTAATGGCATTAAAACGCCAACTGGTTGAGGGGAGCCAGGGGCTCATGTGAGGTAAGTGAAATTTTAGTAATTTAAATTCTAGATGGGTTACAAGCTCATAGTTTGAGTTAATGTTTTAGAATGACGATGATTAGTGGATATTTCGGAGTCACTTATATATGTATTTATATACGGATTATAAGTAAGGATTGACTTGTTGAACGATGATAGTGTTTAACAATTTCTTGTTGAGCTTGTGAGCTCACCCCTTTATTACTTTCAGATGCATATGGATTTAACTTGTAAAGGAGGCTCAGTGAGAGAAGGAGATTTCCGGATTTCTACATTATGATTTTATTATTGTTTCTTTGTAAACACTTTGTAATAAGATTCACTCCGTTGGTGGAATTTTGAATTAGTTGGGGATGTAATAAATTTCATTCGGATTGATAGATTTTTGAATAAAAATGTTTTCTTATTAATTTAATCATGAATTATGGTGGATGAATGATGTGAGTCACATATCAAGTTTTAGTACAAGATAGGGGTTTTTGTATTAGAATTTGCGGGCGTGACAATATGTCTTCATGCATGTATATGTCACTGCTAGATAATTAGTAGATATATATGTACGACAGAGTTGTTGACTTTGGAGCTGAAGCTTTTCATGACGACATACAACTTGTCTCTTTACTAACCATACATGAATCATCCTATTAAAAAACATAAGATCATTAATAAATTCATAAATCATCCTATTTTAAAACAAGAGATTAATAAGAAATCTAAGCCACGCTTACTTGTTTGATGTTTTAATGATGGAAATAAGAAGTTGACTCCGTACAACATGCTTATCTTTCGCGGTTTTTTATTTAAACATTATGAAGATATGTAGCTTTCAAAGTGTCGTACAAATAAGTACTTGATCATTTTAAGTTACCGCATGGACTTCATTATCAATAATATGAGTCCAAATTATTATACCGCAGAGTTGTGATTGCCTGCTCGTATATGTAAGTGTTCGGTTATAATCATTTATACGTGTGAATTATATCATATCGAACAACTGTGATTGCTCTTATATTGGACATTAGGTTGTGATCGTTTGTACGTGTGAATTATGTCATACTATACAATTGTGATTGCTCATATATTGGACACTAGGCTGTGATTGCTCACACATACCAGAGTATACACACGTGCAAATAATTACAACGGGCTATTGATATACCACATAGAGGATCTTACCCTGACTTGATTTTTATATTATTGTTTTAAAAGAAAAGAAATTATAGAATTAATTCTAAAATAATTCTAGAGGGATTAGATATTTAAGATATCGGGTTCATATTTTATCCTACACAGTACACATTTTTTCCTTTTGACAAAAGTCGAAAACTACTCATATAGTCATACGATATTATGTCAATAAGTAATAACCAAATATTGATGTATGTTATGACTGTGTGCAATGAACTGGTCCATAATTAGAGGATGGTGTGGGTACGTTATAGATTGAGACAGGGACTTGCAACTTGCAACAAGTAGTTTTTGATATTTCTACAGCCTTTAAATCTCACATTAACTGCAACTCAGCTTTAGTGCAATTGGACATTGACCAGGGTATAAAAAAATTAAATGTCGTCACATTATTTTGGGTTTAGTTAGTTTTATTGGAATATTTGAGTAAAAATATAACAAATCATATTAACATTTCTATATTTTCACTCAAAAATTAATCAATATTATTCTGCAAATAATGTAAAGTATACCCATATTCATCACAAAATCATTGGAGCTGGTATCCATATATATTGTTTGATGCAATAGGAAAATGCTCGGATTATTAAGCTTGAAAAAACATATTTTGATTTAGAGAGTCAAATAAAGTCAAATATTATGAGCATATATATCTAATCAAAACATTGTGATGCATGTCCAACCAATTCATCTACAACCTCAATCATGTTGTCCAGATTTAGCCATGGTTAAAGTCTATGTAGGGAATTTTATTATATGTGAACTTGTAAGTGGTAAACTTTGACTACACGATGACGTGACTAACCACGGAATTGAAGTACTATGTGGAGTTTAGGAGAGAAATTTAGTTGGAGAGATCCAAATCCATATATATATATACACACACAGACACACACACATGCACACAATCTCTAAAGAAACTATCACTAAATTAAGACTTTTTTTTTTAATCATTGGAAACACTCTCTTTACTAGGAAATGGTATATTTCTTTTATTATAAGGTAATTAATTAAACTAGGAAATGATATTGTCACAAAATCTTGATACCATTGAGGACTTAGTCTAATTAACTGTATTTTCTCTTTCTTCCAAATGAAAAGTTGAAGGCAAACTTTACTGTCCAAAAGCAATTACCTCCAAGGGTTTTGATAGGAAAAGGCAAGACCAAGAATTAAAATACAAATATACACATATAAAGATATATATATATATATATATATATACACGTATATTTAAGATAAACAAATCATTCTTTCCATGTCAAATATTTAGCTCATTTGCAGCTTGCCTATCAAGTACTTTAATTAACACTGCTTACATTGAAAATTTGTCGCCAGATGCATTGACAAAATGAGGATTATCCTCCTTGGTGTTAAATGCTAATAAATTACTTTTCACTTTAATGCAAGTGGATTGGTGACCAATTAAGATCAATCTTAGGTCCTCACACGATGCAACTTGCTTAAGTAAAATATATATACATATACAAATATATATATATATAATTCAATTTTATTTTTTTGTGGCCATTGATGTTGTTATGATCACTACCCATTTGATATTATCGCTAATCTAGTTAAAATATTAAGCAAAGAAAAAATAATTAAATAATCCGCAGCATTATATAATTCCCGATAGTGTAAATTTGAACTTTTTAAAATATATGTATCTATAGACCAATCACGTATTGATGTTGTACAATTTATGTAAAAATGGTTTTTCGTTTTGTGTCAAACTGATTTTTTATTTGTGTTATTATTTCTATTTTCTAGAAGGAGACAATATAGATTAGGTATAAATGTTTTCCCCGTGTCACAGGTTTAGGAGAGTTTGAATGAGTCAACAAAGACACATAGCCACACACTAGAGCTAAAACTTTTCATGCGCATATGACACCAGGTGCATGTATATGATATAAATTTTGTTACATAATTTTACCTGCATCGTCTTGTGTAGACTTTTCATGTGAGTATTTTAATTTATAAGTACATACATGATAAAACAAGTTAATAAACTCATTGTGGTAAATATATATAGTTTTTTTTATGATATTGTTCTTGATTTCGTGTTTGAGAGTGAAAAAAAATGTAATAATACATACATATATATTAATTCTGTTGTTTGGATTGTAACAATAAATAACAACAAATACAGTTGTTTCTGATATTGTCTTTAAGTCACTTTATCACATTTCGATGTTGAATTACATCTAACTAAATAGACACTTAATTCCGTTGTCTCACAGTTAAAAAAAAAAAAATGAGATATTGATATTAAGTTATTCTACACCTAATCTACACGATGTATATGCCTAGGCAATATGTCAACGGTTTTACAAAAACAAACAGTCTTCTCAAACTATTTATAAAGCCAACCAAACAGCTAACTCACCCAAACCAATTTTCTCAACCCCCAAACACCCTCAACTTATATCAAAAAAAGGAAGAAGAAAATGAAGCTGGTCTGGTCCCCGGAAAGAGCTTCAAGAGCTTATATTGACACTGTTCAATCCGTAAGTACACCTTCAACCTCCAACATACATACATACATATATATATATATATATATATATATATATGCATGAAATTAATTAACAATATATTCTTACATTTCTCTTACTTTTCTATATATCATATGATCATACAGTGTGAGCTTTTCAAGGAGTCTGGTGTGGCCGAGTTTATCTCCGCCATGGCCGGCGGCTGGAACGCGAAGCTGATCGTGGAGGCGTGGTGGCACGGAGGTGCAGTGGGGACCAGTATAGGTTTAGCTATGGCTGCCCGTCAAACGGGTGGCCGACACGTGTGCATGGTGTCTGATGAACGGTCCAGATTAGAGTATGTAAACACCATGCGTGAGGCCGGTGTGTCGCCACCGGAAGTGGTGGTCGGAGAGGCTGAGGAGATGATGCTAGGGCTGGTGGGTGTTGATTTCCTGGTGGTGGATGGACGGCGCAGGGACCTTGCTAGAGTGCTTAGGTTTGCTAAGTTGAGCCACCAGGGCGCAGTTTTAGCATGCAAAAATGTTAACCAAAGGATCGTGGCTGGGTTCAGATGGAGCAGGGTTCTTGATGGCGCAACACGTGTCGTGAGATCAGTGGCTACTCCAGTGGGGAATGGATTAGATATTGCTTACATAGGTGGGACCACGATTTCTCCTAAGAGTACTAGCCGTTGGATCAGCTACATAGATCAACAGTCAGGAGAGGAGCATCTGTTCAGGGGATGAATTTTGATGTCAGGATTCTCTACCTTGAATAAAATCATGATATGTAAAAGTTTAATGTCAACAAAATCATGATATGTACAAATTTTTGATACAATTAAATCTAGTTTCAAAATATTACTGTCAACTTGAAATAATGTGTTAAAATACGATATAATTGCGTTGAAAACGCGCATCTTCTAGATTCCAATTTTGATACTTTGGAGTGCATTTTCTTCGCCATGCCATGGTTGGGTGGTTAAAATGTCCCTTTTGAGGTCATTTTGCATGAAAGTTCTTTGAACTGGACAAAATTTGAACCCTAGGCACATGACCCTATTTGAAGATGATGTTAATTTTGTCTTCTTCTGCATCTCCACTTGTACATTTTGTCATGTAAATTTGTTCCCCCAAAAATAATGGAGATTGAGATTGAGATTGAGACATGGACTATATAGACTATATATATATAGCCTTGATTTACATGTTTCATATGAAATATTCAAACCTTTTCTTTTGGTAGTCTAAGTTCAATTTACTATAATTTCATTTAGACGCACAAAGAATTATAAAGAAAAACATAACCAAAAATCTCTAATACTCTCCTATTGTCGATCAAAGCTATCACCAAAGAAAGTAAAAAATACAGACACCTAAGATTTAGGTTGTTCAAAATGGCATTACACAAGAAAGTTGCCGGACTTATATGTCACATAAGAGAAGCACAAGTATCACCAAAGTAAAATCACTGTGTGGATAATAAAGTAAAAAGTCCTATTAGTACTATTGCTACTATATGCAGTTCTTGAACAACCCTAAAAGGTGACCAAAACTCCTAATCTGCCAAGATGAAAGAGCCCTAGAGCTGCTCCATATCTGGATCCTCTGGATCAGGTATCTGGAACCATCCTTCGGCATCTACCATGAGCTCAGCAGATGTACTGGTAGCCTCTACTGAAAAAACATGTAAATAAATAAATTGAGTTTAACCAAGCGTAAGTCTAGGGAGAAATTAGTTGGCAACACTGAATTCCTTCTTTTGCACCATGCCTTAGTGTGGTGTGGTGTGTTAAACCTCTACAGGCATTAAATGCATTTGGCCTAAGAACAACAATAGTAGTTGAAATTTTAATGGCTCTAAACTGAGCATCAATGGTGATTATGAGTATTTTTGATACACGTGCTGGGCTCTAAACTAAGCATTAATGGTGATTGTGAGTGTTTCTGTTACAGCATGTGTTCATCATCCATTTGGTTTGGCCTATTATTTGTGTTAAATATTTTCGAACTTTTTATTCAACAATCTAAAATACTTCGAAGTGTCCCATATAGTAGTGATGGGTACAGGAGAAGGCCATGCCTTTGTTTCGTCCCATACTCTACACAACCTGCAAGTGCTTCTTTTGCGTTCAAGGGCGATACCCTCAAGATGTGATAACTTGTTACAATGCCAGTATTTAATTTGGATACGAGAGTCACATTCTCAAGGTTTGCTGACGTATTGTGACTTCAAAGACTTAAAAGGATGACGACCTAAATATATTTTTTTGACCCAGCATGATATAAGGGTTTTCTTTAAACTCAATAGTCTTCTCGAGAAAGCCTAAATGAAAACATTTTTATTGTTGTCCGTAATGAAGCACATTTGCCACGTTGCAATTGATTCTCAAAAAAACAAGAATTGGGGATGATCATTTTAATAAATAAATCCAAGATATATGAATTTCATATACATCAGGTTCAAACATCTATCATCGTTTCGAATCGTAAAAAATAAGCATAAAAAAAATATATATGGGTCAATTTGAGGACACCAAATTTAACTAAATATTGGCCATAAGCAATAAACTAAATGATATACCAAATTATTAGGATGAGAAGCAAAAATTACCTTCATATTCAGGCAAATTGATCCAATCATCCCAGCCAAAACAAGACCTCTCAACTTCTTCCGAAAAAGCAAACGCATCTAAGAAAGCAACTTTGCCACCTGTAGTGTTCTTCGTGGAAAGGGGATCATCCTACATAAGCAAAACTAGTCCTACTCGAGTAAACACTTTGTTTAGATAAAATCTTTTTTAAAATTTTGTTCAATATTTGAATCAGTTAATGATCGATCATCTTTCTCTAAAAGAACACCAATTCAAATACCTCATCTTTGATCCCTCTACAAATAAAATACAGTGCCCGTGCCATTGTTATATCCTCCTCTGTCATCTCTAACCGACCCACCTATTTCTCCAACAAAGTCAACACAAATTATGTAATCAAAAGACAAAAATTAAAGAGCAATAATATTTAGGCAGAAGATTTTTTTTATCAGCTTGATGCATTCAACTAGGAGTGTGACGAATCTCAACGGTTTGACCCGTGGCAAGATTACTTGGCCCGGGTGCCTCAAGAGTTAAAAAGTATCAAGTCTCAGATTTGAAATGGGACTATATTCAGCGAGTTACCGATCTAAAGGTGGGGAGGTACCCTTCCTAAATCCTTGTGGAACAGTAAGGGCAAAACCCCTAACACTTCATGTTAATCTAGATAAAAAAAAACTAGAAGTGAAGTGGGACATGGGAGTCTTCGCTCTCAATTTCTTTCAAATTTTATTTTGTTTAAAAAAAACCAATTAATCATAAGACATGCAGTGCCCTAATTGATAAACTTCTCCACACTTACTCCATCAACAGTATTTAATTCATCAAAAGCTGTTTCCTTCGACTGAGGCTCAGAACAAGATTTTCCATCAAACGGGTCGGAAAAATATGGGTCACCATCGTTGATGCTAGATAGGTCCATGTGGGATGTGTAATTATCAATTGGATAATCGAAGAATGGGTCATCAGCCCACATGCTTAGGTCATCAAATGGATCTTTTCCTCCAAAGAAAGACATCGAACACGAACAAAGTATAATGTCCCCTGAACAAAAGCTGGTCCAAAATGAGACACAATCAAAATTCAATATAACATGTCTTTGTTTTCTTTTCTTTTCTTTTCTTTCTTTTTTTTTTTTTTTTTTCACAACATGTCTTTGAATGAAAAAACTCAGAACTACAAATATATATATATACACGCGCGAAAACACGAATCTATCAGTCTATAAACTCAAAATAATTTATACAACTCTAAAGTAAACCAAATTTATGTACCCTTATAAAGATTTTGTATTCAAATTTCAAACAGTGATTATAGCTATTGGGATGTAAATATAATCACCATATTTGTCCATAAAATATTATTCAAATAGTTTCAAACAGAGATTATATACAGGCAAAAAATATAATTATTATTCAAATAATATAATCATAGCAAAAGTCCATAAAATAAAATACGATAGAAACATGCTGTGAAACATACTGTGAAACATACTGTCACCCGTCATGCCACCAGATCTCTATACTATCACCCGTCATGCCACCAGATCTCGTGGGTTCGTCTACTCATTTATAAGTCAAATAGAGCATTGATTTGGAAATGCCCAATGATTTAGCCAAATTTCTAAAAATATGAGATAATACTCTCTATTTGCCTATTTGGAAGTGAAATTATTAATGCCTTCAAAAGTAGAGTATAAAATTATTTTTTTATAATAATTGCGAAAGTGTAAGTACTTTAAAGAACAACAAAATAAATATATATAGTTAATGAAAACTAATTATTAAATTAAAAATAACATTTATCTTCTTCCCCTTTTTTTTTCTTTTTTTTTTATATTTTTTTCTTTTGCCTTTTAAAAAAGAATATAAATTTCAGAAAGTAAAGCGAGTTAAAAAAATACTTTTTCTCATCAAAACTAGGATCAGTAGCTTGGGCGCGGCAACATTACTAACATTCTACAACCATTCTACAAGAAACATGATTACGTAGAAATCAAATGCTGATTTGCACAACTTACCTAGTAGAAATTAGGATAAGTGCTAAAAAGATTAAGCACAAACTCTAATTTTGACAACTACAATCTCAGAAGCACTTAACCTGTGAGAATAAATATTCAAAGGAAAATATCACAACCATCATACACCATTCCCGACGACTAGCTGTTAATTTTACATTACTAGTGAACCGTATAAAAACCTATGGGATCATCAGCATGCCACACCGCATGAATCTGTCCATTCCTTATCTAACAGTTCCCACATTTTCAAAAATTGATGATAAAAACATGAAATAGATATTAGCCTGTCAGGCGATCCCCGTTTTTCTGCAATACATACACTGTTATGCCCGAGCTGCTCCATGATCAGAGTGATACCTCTTAACCTTATTCTGCAAGATGATGCCGGTGGGAATGGTTGAATCACAGCCCAGAGTTACAACCTGTTCAGTATATTAGAATTGTAAATTGAACACTTTGCAGAGGCTCGGGGCTACTGTTACAATTAACCCGACTTTCTGAATGTGACATGAATGATCTTAAAACTCTTGCGCATCCAAGTCAGGCTTTGATGGATATTCAAGACCCTGAAGGGCCGGCATACGTCTTAAATCTTCTTCTGAGTAAGAAGGGATGAACCAGTAGAGCTTGTCTATCCCAAACACCTGATCCACAACCACCAAAACCTTAGTCAAGTGTCATATGATTCCACAATAGGAGAGCGGTTAGCAAACACCAGCTCACAAGAAGTATGCAATTTTAAAAATGGAACACCTTAATACAGAGTGTGCTAGATGACGAAAAGAAATGTAAGTGCTCTCTAGTTTCCTATATCTCTTTCTATCTCTAAGTGCTCTCTTTTACTGGCTTCTACTACTTTGTAATAAACAGATGTAAATACAATAAATTTTCATTAGAATGTCGGTGGCACTGCTTGCAATATCCTTGTTTGAGGTTCTCTACATACATTCAAGATATATACGTCCCCAGTCCCCAATATCATTAGTCATGTCAGTGCTTTTGATCCTTTGTAACGCTTAGTTGTTTAAAGTGTGCGTTACAACTTCTCAGCATTTTTTTTTTCACAAAAAAAAATTAAAAAAAAAAGGGAGGGAAAAGGGAAGGTCCATCAGAAGAAGAATTGTGGGAAACAATCTGACGTTAAGTGAACCAACCTGTTCAAAGTTCCTCTTTCGACCAAGGTCATAGCGCCATTTTGGAGTGGTCTTCTTCTCATATGCCTGCACACATGAAATAATCCATTAATAACTCGGTGCATATCCCTTCACCTTCCTCTAAAGGAGGTGCATTGTAGTAAAAATATTTTTTAAAAAAAGTTCTAATAGAATCACTGGAGTTAGAAATAGAATTATGTTTAGCATTTTTTACAGAAGTAACTCGATGCACATAAACCTTTATTCGTTACTCTTTTTTTGTTCTCTTCTCGGGTTGATAAATGAGAAGGCCACCAATCTACTCAAAAAACCTACCCAAGAACTGAGCAGCAGTCCTGGCATTTTAAAGTGTATATATATAATTATATATCCACAGATTTTATAATTTGAAAATATGCACAAAAAGACAAATTGTCAATTCCTGCATCAGAAGGTTGTACCAATTAGGGCAATAATCCAGACCAACCTGATTTTTCACAGGCTTGGGTAGCATTTTTCACAATTTTGGATTGGGCATGAGTTCTGAATTATTCCAACCCAAACTTTTTTTTGATAAGTAATAATAAATTAAAAAGGCGTTCAAAAGGGGAACGCGTCCCTTATACAGAAGTGGAACCGGGGCTAAGGCACCAAAGAATCCAAGAAAATAATTAAATCATAAGAAGAGGAGCAAGAACTCCTCTTCACAGAATGAAAAACGTAAAGTTTCAACATTGCCGTAGATGACTCTTTCCCTTTGAACATTCTACTATTTCCCTCCTTCCAAATGCACCACCATACACAATGTGGGACAATTCTCCAAAAATCGCGTACATCCCTTCTCACACGACATCCTCTCCAAACATGAATCATTTCCTTAGTAGATCGTGGCATTACCCAACGCATGCCAAACAATCCAAGAATAAGATTCCAACAGTCGTTCGCCACAGGGCAATGCATAAGGAGGTGATCAATTGACTCCCCATCTTTCTTGCATAGACAACACCAATTAACAATACGATTGCCCCTTTTCCTCAAGTTATCACTTGTCAGAATCTTACCCCAAACAGAGGTCCAGACAAAGAAAGCCACCCTAGTCATTCCAACCCAAACTTAATTCAAGTGGAGCACGAGTTGAGGGGTCGGAACCATATCCAACTCAAATTGTGTAATCTGAAGTTGATCTGTCCCAAGTTCACATAAATCTACAATTATAATTTTTTTTTTCGATAAGTTAATCTACAATTATATTATTATATGTTAATAGTCATGAGCAGCCTTTTATTAAATTCCTTCTTCATCTTCTTTTTCTTTTTTTTAGTAATTTCTTTAGTTTTGGTTATAACTTTTTATATATTTATACTCAAGTTATTCAATTTTTACATATACATGTAATCCAACACCCAAATCAAACCCAAGGCTATAATAGACAAAGAAGCAGCACAAGACTCTGACTATAATAGACACAGTATTACAGCAGAGACTATCATTGATTATATTCAAATTAGCATACAGAGGTAAGAAGAAGTCAATACCTCAATAGTGGTGGTATTAGCAGCCACCAATGACATGTGCATAATCAGAAACCCCAGAACACTCAGTGCAAATGCTAGGTTCAAGACTGTGGATACAGCAATAATGGTTACATAAATGTATAGATTCATGAAAAGAGGGCTCAGACAAATAGGTTAATTAGAGCTTACCAAATGCAAGAAAAGTCGTTGCCAGAGTGCCTGGTGACCCAGGAATCTCTTCATCAGTAAAGAATGCCATAAAATGTGGCAGTAACGATAAAGTCACAAGACTTGTCTCTAAGAATGTGTAGAACTGCATCAACAAAACAATATAATCAACTACGCTTTTTAACATGTCATTAGATGTCCAGAAAGCATAATTAGTAGCCCCAACAACAGGATGGCTAACCCCCCAAAAATGCAATCTTTTAATATGCAACATATTCCACTAACCACCAGAAACAAATAAATTAGATACATGAAACAAAATCAATGTCCTCATGCAATGGCTAGCGTATAGAATCTCTGGAATTATAGAACTCAAAATGGATAGTTAGACAATCATCAGTGTGATACTATGACAAATTCAGATATGACAAAAGCAAGTAACACCATAAAAAGGTCATCTTTTAGTTACAGAAAGAGTCCGTTGAGACGCTATCTCGTCTTATAAACGTCAAATCCTTCTCTGAATGCAACGAGACATGTCAGAAACAGAAGTTCAATTAAGAAATGTGGAATTAATTTTCTAAGTTCTAACCTGGAGCATATTACATCAATCTAACTCATCCTAAATGACAATCAACTTCCATTCCGATAAATAGCTTTTCTGTCCAATGCAATCATGCTTCCCTCCTAGGCTCCTATAAGATTATTCTATATTCCTAAAGGTTCAGTTATCAGTTATTCAGTATGACCTTTGGAATACATCCATCTGGGCTTGGAGTTGGTAAGTCAAATAAAGAGCTCTATACTCAAATATCTCAAGTATAGAATTCTGAGTGCTTGAACATAACTAAAAGGCCAAAACAGATAAATCTAACAACATTATAATAAAATAAATAGATCAACGTTGGCACCGCCACATTACATATAGATACAAAAAGACCACTCATGAGAAACTCAAGTGTCGGATTGATCGCCCTGAGATTGTATCGTGTTATTGATATCCTCCTATCTCTTGTTATGTGATTTACTAAGATCAAACTAAAAAAATTAAAATCAGTTATATACTAATATAGCACAAGAAACAATGTGTGCGAAGCAGAATGTTGGGCCAAAATCAAATGGGCAGAAAGTGTTAAGACATGTAGAAAGACTGGGAATATATAGATAGAAATGACCAAAGAGAAAAAATCTCAGGAGGTCCACCGGGTAATTAAAACATGGTGCTGAATTGAGGCAGTCAAAAATTGTCGTGGCATGGCTTCAAAGAATTGTGAATATGAATCTGAGAGATTGGGTAAGATGAGTTATCAATTCTCATGTTTTTAACTTTTGACTAAAACCATGTTTTTATAGGGTTTCTGAGGCCATAAAAAGGGACTAAAATCATGTTTTATAACAAGCTCAAACAGCCAAGTTCATGCCGTGGGCCTGGGATACTGGCATAGAACATCACCAATACTAGCAATTGTCTTAATTGTACGCACAAAGAACAACCCAGCAATCCTATCTACAACTCTGCATTCGCAAGTTTTGATGAGATAAGCCACAAGTATGCCGACCCCACTTCCCATAGTTGCTTGCAAAAAGAAGCTAACCCACAAAAAAGTCCCTACTTTATAGTATGGCACATGGATAACTAAAATGAAACACATGGGTTAACTGTTTTACCTACATAATAAGGGCAATAGCATTCTTCCTATAATCCTTCTAGCATGTGGAACATGTGAGGACCGGATTGGATTCGGGGCATGACAGAACAAATCCCTCATATTTAGTAACAATAGAAAACCAGCATACACCCAGTCCCGGTAAGGCTTATTCCACCTTTACTGCCACAAAACCCCTGATACCCCTATAGACCATCATTATTCAGTCAGGGAACCTCAAAGATATCAATACCTTTATTTTAAATGAAAACTAAATATATGTAACTAAATCAAACATAAATTAGATGTCATAGAATTACATACATATATAATAAAATATATTATTCATATATATTCAATTAAAATAGGGATTATTGTTTGGTGCAGTTGTTAAAACTTGAACTGCTAAAAATGAGACACAAGTTTGAGTCAGAGAACAACCACTTTGTACAAAATGATTAAAAGTTAGGTCTATACTCAGCCTACCCCTCAAACACCTAAATTAATGAGGACCACACTAGGTTAAAGTTTTATATAATTAAAAAATAATTGTCTTTTGAAATAAATCTCTCTCTAAAATATGATTTGATCTGCTAGAGGATTTTGTTTTCTTTTTAGAGAAATATAATAAAGAACATTTGTTTTCTCTTTACTCCATGGGTTGGGGAGAGGGGCCTTCAGACAAAGGGATAAATTCCCAAGCCAAGACATGATCATCATCACTTCACCAGCAAGTCTGGTGAATAATTTCTAAAAGCCCTCGTGGACATGTAGCACAACATGTCCTACTTTTTGACATATATCCTCAGCACATATATAGATAAGATAGAAAACCACTTTGGGCATAGACAAACATGAGATGATTAAGATGATAAGACATATAGAACAAAACATTTTAGAACATGGAGTGAGCCACTGATATTTGTGAAATTAATGAGACTCGGAATTGAAAGTTTCCTTTCATGTGGCCGACCCCGTACATATGGGACAAAGCAAGGAGGAGGAGGAGGATGAATTGAAAGGGTACTACAGAAACAACCAATTCACTAGGATAAATAGAAAGGAAAGAAAATTAAAATACCATAAAATGAAAAGAAGAGAAAACGATGCTGAACATAGAAGTATGAAGAATCGAATACCTCCATAACTCAAGTCACAGTTACAAAAGCAACTTCAAGCAGCTCAGCTATTCTTCTGAAGTACTTATGGGAACTAATAACCAATCAAACACCCCTTTCCACCTCCTAAAAATCCATCAAATGCGGGCAACATTGCCTACCAAAATAAATGGTAAGGCAATGCAGGTACAAGGCACATCAATGACCCTTTTCTCTGTCAAAAATAACTTGGTACGAGAATCCCAATTAGAATGCTTACAATTAGCTTCCAAACTGCTGTGTCCTTAATCTACCCCTCTAGTTCTTGATTTTCGCTGTGATTTTATGAGATTTCTCTTTAATTCTCAACTATTTATAAATCAGAAACCAATTAAACCACTATTTATACTTATTAAATTGACCTATTCAGCACCTAGTTACCAACAGGCCAGTGGCCTAGCGGTACCAAGCCCCTACTTCTCAAAGAGAGGTCAGGGGTTCAAGCCTCAATGGAGGCATGTGTGTGTGAGTACCAATTAGGAAAAAAATATATATATTCAGCACCTAGTTAAGATCTGAAAATATTGAAGCAAACCTTGAATCTTAGCTTGGAATAAATTATTAACCGTCCTTGGGGAATTGCCAAAGGAATGATTGAATTTCAAACCTATGTGAATAGAATTCATTGACAATCACACAGCCTAATGCAAAGATTGGTCCCAAAGGGTATAGTTGAAGGCTTGAAGCATTTCTTTGTGAGACATCAAGTACATTTAAATATTCCTGAGAAAGAAATAGTTGACAAGAGTTATTGAACAAAAAGCACTATACACCACCGTAAAAATTCATCCTTGGATATAAACTATCCTGCCGTTGGATGAGCCTTAATGATACACTTACTTTCCATTTAAATTTTCAAGCAGCATGCTAGTTTTGCATGGCTCAATCTATTTAGAGTAACAACCGATCCAATGAGATATTTGATAAGAAGGCTTCTATTAAATCACAGGATGCCTGAATTCCAAGTGCTCTTCATCAGTTCATCAATTGATAAACCCATCCTACTGTAATGTAGAATCCATATTTTTCTCAAATTTAATCACACTTGTCGCCTGTACCATCTAGATGTCCATTCCCATTTTGTAACAGGCTCCCTTCCTTTTCACATTGCCTTCAAATGGATTACAGTTATAAAAATAAATAAAAAAAGTACTTTTAGCCTGTACCATCTAAATGACCATTTCCAGTTCCCTCTCTCATCAATTAGGAACATCTCTTTCACTCCACCACAATTCAAGAATATTATAACTCCACATTCCTTTCCCATTGGATTATAGTAAACAAAATTTCCACTTAACATATAAATGTGTCGGAAGAGAAAAAGAAGAAAACACTAAGCCCATGAGTTTCTCACTAAAGATCACATGAAACTACACTAGACCACATCATGGCTATGGTTATAGCTACTAGATTATAATATGCATCCCATAGGCAAGATCCATTAAATCATGAGAAAATTTATATTAATCCACAAGTAGAGAAAACTGACTGCTCATTTGATTCATCTTCAGGAAGCAGAAACATATTTTACAGAAATTACGAAATGCAATTCATATTTTGCAACCCTATCCAAATAAGAGTGTGAGTGTGCTTTTTTAAATGAAGAATATCAACTAATTAAAAGCATATTTTTTTTTTTTTGAGCAACAAGGACCTTTCTATCCAGGCGCCCTTTAGACTTGTGGCTTCAATATCATCCCATGGATATCCGCAATCACTCACAGACCATGGATATCGCTTAAACTAGGACTCGAACTTGAGACCTCAAGGTAGTAACTCTGAGATCCTGCTATCCAAGCAACCCTGACGGGTAGATTGAAATAATTTGTGATTAGTAGAAGCGGGAGCATACCAGAAAAAGAAGGAAATATTTGTAGTTCAATGCCCCAACACAATTCACAACCCACACACAGTGATGGTCCATTTTTAGCACACACCTCGCACCTGAAACAGTTAAGTAAAAGCAAATCATTTTGGCTGAAATAATTGAGAAGGCGGGGGAAGTTTCAAAAGAATTGTGTATGTGAACTCACAAACAGAACAATGATGGCACCGAGGTGGTTTTAGTTGGTTGCACTTCCGACAATATCGGATCCTTGGGTTTGCTGGATCCGCCGGCAAACCACCAAATTCAGACCCAGTCAATGGATCAGCATCCCCTCTTTCCTCGTCCAACATTGGCAATTCCCCAAGGACGGTTTTCTTAAATTTTTCATGGAATTAGAACAGAGCAACACAATGACGGTTAGTGACTATGAGACAAAGTTCACGGAACTCTCTCGGTTTGCTCCTCACATAGTGGCTAATGAGGAACATCGGATTCGAAAGTTTGAGTGGGGTTTGATCTCCCATGTTAAAAGATTGGTAGTCGGGCATAGGTGTGACACTTATGCAAAGGTTGTGGAATGTGCCATGGCAATTAAAGAAATAATAACAATATTTTTCACAAGAAAAAGGAGCAACAGTCAGAAAAGAAAGGAAAAGGAAAGGGTACTTTCCAAGAAGCTCAAGGAAGTAAGAATGATTAGTTCCAACGTGGCCAATGGGGTTCAAGAGACGAACAAAATGAGCAGAAATGGAAACGACAAAGAATTGAAGGTGCTGGACAAATCAAATCAGTAGGGCCAACAAAAACGAGACAGGAACCATATAAATTCTGGGGAAATTGTTATAATTGTTTGGAGAGTGGACATATGGCAAGGTTTTGTCCAAAGCCACGTAAGAGTTCTGAGACGGGTGAAAAGGAACCGCAGCTGCAGAAGTAGGAGGAAGAGATTATGAATGAAGAAGTGGGAATTTATTATTATGATTATTTGTTTTTCTCTCTTTAGCTTTTGGCATAGGAATAAAGTAGAGGTTTGTGGTTACCTATTAATGGTTGCTAAGCATTTTTTTTTTACTTTTGAACATTTGGTTTGTTCTTTACATTTGGACATGAAAAAAAATTGGATTTATAAGTCTTGTAAATTCATTGATTATTATTGGATGGTTGCCATTGAATTTTTTTTTTTTATGAGTGAAAAAGTTAGACGGACTTTTTTTTTAATTTTTTTTTTTATCTGATTGCACTTTAGAATCAGGATGACTGGAAAGAAAATTAATGAGAACAAACAGGAGCAAAAGATTAATTTATCGGCTTGTATGCGAGGGAGAACTCAAAAGATAGGAATGGTTATCAAAAGTTCTATTCCAATAGGTGATATTCTAAAGTACAAACCGAGAAAGGTATCTAGTGTACGAGATTGGCCTCCATTTTACGGACCCAATGCAAACCCAGTTCATCTCAAAGAAATGAAAAGTGAAGAGGATGATCCTGAAGAGGATCCTAAGGCGGAGTCGCTGGACCATAAATGAAGGTACGTAAATTTCGAGGACGAAATTTCAATTAAGGAGGGTAGAATGTAACAACCAGATATATATTGTATATATATATATATTTTTTTTTGAATTCATGTTTATCCATATAATATATATCTATGTGGAATTATGAGGGTTATCGTATAATGGAATTTGAGAGATATCAGGCTATCAGTTTAGTTGATTTTTTTTTTTTTTTTTTTAAAAGAGTCCATATAGAACTCAACTACTAGATATATATCTAGACTTGGTGTATCGGCATTATTTTTTTTACGGGCAATACTATTCTGTGAGTAACGAAGAGGCTTAAGCAGATTCCATTGTCAGGTAAGTTAATTCTTGCTTATATCCTGTATATATGATTATCCGTGATTTAATTATAAAACTCATAATAATTATGTTTAATTAGACTTACAATATGGAGATTACACATGGAGGTACCGATTTATTTGAATTCGATTATACTTCAGTTGATAGTTATTATATATGTGAATTAGAATGATTTATTTTATCGAGGTATTGGTGTTTTCCTTGATCGGATTATGGATATATCAAAATGATTGGATGTAGAATCTCTCAACTTTCATGTATATAAGAGAATGTCAGTGTATGATTTTAGTTGAATCCATTGGTTGATCTGGTATAATTATATAATAGGTATGAATAATGTTATTTGAACAGTGTAGATCTTATACATTAAGATTGGGATGGACCGCTACAGATGGATATATATGTAACAGATTATCTATACATATGTACATAATTATTGATGGGATTAATTTAATCTATTGTAGGTCACTACTAGGATGTGATTTTATAGAAGCTTCATGATTGATCTTTCCAGTGAACAATCAATATATCAGCCGGGACCAAGTGTCCATACTTCCACTGACAATTAATTGAGAAGTCAGAATCAAAGGGTTTTAAAACAAGAGCATCCTTGCATGCTTCAACCAGAATAATGCTACCATTTGTCCGTGCATTTGTCTCTCGGACTGGGCTCTATATGCACATTGGATGGATATATATATATATATATATATATATATATATATATATATATATATAGATTTACCTATGTTAGTAGTTGTAGATAAGGCTCAAGAAATGCAAGTGATTTACTAATGGATTGAATGTATGTAAAGATGGGTACATGATTAATTGGAGTAATGAATGGATTAGACTAAGGATGAAGGTTTTGGTTGGCAGTAAATGAGTTTTGAGGTGTCATGAATTAATATAGTCACTAATTTATATAATTTTTATTTAAGCCCATACTTACTGGTACATTTTGGAGTCATTAGAATTAGATATTTAAGGTTGGCTTTATGTTGATTACAGACCTTGAATTTGTTGGTATAGCAGGTAGTATACAAATTTAATGATATTGAGATGGAAATTTAGAGTATTTGCAACCTATTGTAATTAGGGCTATGAGTTGGTGTGTCAGTATTAATTATGGTATTGGATAAACTCATGATAACATGAGTTGGAATTATTTAAATATATTCAGTGTTTAATTGATGTGATTAAACAAGTTGGAGCAGTGGTCTGAGACTTTTATAATGATGAGGTTGTTGAGTGCAGTCAGGGACTGTCTTCGGGAGTGAATTACTCTTTTGTTATGGCTATTGGGCTAAAGGTGCCCTTAGTATGTGGACGTGGTCAGGGGCCATCTGGGTGAGTAGACGTACAACCCAGCCACATGTGTGTATTTGGTAGTCAGGGACTATGCAATTCACACCATTTATTCGGAGTGGAGCCAGGGGCTCATGTGAGGTAATGGCATTAAAACGCCAACTGGTTGAGGGGAGCCAGGGGCTCATGTGAGGTAAGTGAAATTTTAGTAATTTAAATTCTAGATGGGTTACAAGCTCATAGTTTGAGTTAATGTTTTAGAATGACGATGATTAGTGGATATTTCGTAGTCACTTATATATGTATTTATATACGGATTATAAGTAAGGATTGACTTGTTGAACGATGATAGTGTTTAACAATTTCTTGTTGAGCTTGTGAGCTCACCCTTTTATTACTTTCAGATGCATATGGATTTAACTTGCAAAGGAGGCTCAGTAAGAGAAGGAGATTTCCGGATTTCTACATTATGATTTTATTATTGTTTCTTTGTAAACACTTTGTAATAAGATTCACTCCGTTGGTGGAATTTTGAATTAGTTGGGGATGTAATAAATTTCATTCGGATTGATAGATTTTTGAATAAAAATGTTTTCTTATTGATTTAATCATGAATTATGGTGGATGAATGATATGAGTCACATATCAAGTTTTAGTACAAGACAGGGTTTCTTGTATTAGAATTTGCGGAGCGTGACAATATGTCTTCATGCATGTATAGTCACTGCTAGATAATTAGTAGATATATATGTACGACAGAGTTGTTGACTTTGGAGCTGAAGCTTTTCATGACGACATACAACTTGTCTCTTTACTAACCATACATGAATCATCCTATTAAAAAACATAAGATCATTAATAAATTCATAAATCATCCTATTTTAAAACAAGAGATTAATAAGAAATCTAAGCCACGCTTACTTGTTTGATGTTTTAATGATGGAAATAAGAAGTTGACTCCGTACAACATGCTTATCTTTTGCGGTTTTTTATTTGAACATTATGAAGATATGTAGCTTTCAAAGTGTCGTACAAATAAGTACTTGATCATTTTAAGTTACCGCATGGACTTCATTATCAATAATATGAGTCCAAATTATTATACCGCAGAGTCGTATATGTAAGTGTTCGGTTATAATCATTTACACGTGTGAATTATATCATATCGAACAACTGTGATTGCTCTTATATTGGACATTAGGTTGTGATCGTTTGTACGTGTGAATTATGTCATACTATAAAACTGTGATTGCTCATATATTGGACACTAGGCTGTGATTGCTCACACATACCAGAGTATACACACGTGCAAATAATTACAACGGGCTATTGATATACCACATAGAGGATCTTACCCTGACTTGATTTTTATATTATTGTTTTAAAAGAAAAGAAATTATAGAATTAATTCTAAAATAATTCTAGAGGGATTAGATATTTAAGATATCGGGTTCATATTTTATCCTACACAGTACACATTTTTTCCTTTTGACAAAAGTCGAAAACTACTCATATAGTCATACGATATTATGTCAATAAGTAATAACCAAATATTGATGTATGTTATGACTGTGTGCAATGAACTGGTCCATAATTAGAGGATGGTGTGGGTACGTTATAGATTGAGACAGGGACTTGCAACTTGCAACAAGTAGTTTTTGATATTTCTACAGCCTTTAAATCTCACATTAACTGCAACTCAGCTTTAGTGCAATTGGACATTGACCAGGGTATAAAAAAATTAAATGTCGTCACATTATTTTGGGTTTAGTTAGTTTTATTGGAATATTTGAGTAAAAATATAACAAATCATATTAACATTTCTATATTTTCACTCAAAAATTAATCAATATTATTCTGCAAATAATGTAAAGTATACCCATATTCATCACAAAATCATTGGAGCTGGTATCCATATATATTGTTTGATGCAATAGGAAAATGCTCGGATTATTAAGCTTGAAAAAACATATTTTGATTTAGAGAGTCAAATAAAGTCAAATATTATGAGCATATATATCTAATCAAAACATTGTGATGCATGTCCAACCAATTCATCTACAACCTCAATCATGTTGTCCAGATTTAGCCATGGTTAAAGTCTATGTAAGGAATTTTATTATATGTGAACTTGTAAGTGGTAAACTTTGACTACACGATGACGTGACTAACCACGGAATTGA